TCATCTCAAGGGAGACAGGCACCTACACATCATCACCTGGCACATTATTGAAATTGCTGAAAGAATTAGACAGAGCTGCCTCTCATCTGAAATCTAAGTAAGATCCAGTTTCATTTTACTTTGAATCTAATTTGACATCCAATTAAAATCTAATCGAGCTCTGAGTAAACTAAAGCCCATTGAAATCCAACTAAGTTGAAACCGACCTGAAATCTTATTAGCATATCTTGAAACCTAAATGAAGTCTGCTCAAGCTCGAGTGAAACCGAACTAGAATCGATAGAAGCAAAACTCATTCAAATCAAGTTCGTCCAATCAAAATCAAAACATCGACTGAAATCTATCCTGGCTCCTTCTCAAAATCATCAATAACAGGACTCATGTCAAATCGAATCGAGATCTATTTGAAGTTTCATTAAGACCAACGTAAAATCGTATGAGAGGGGGGATTTCCAATTTTGGTGGGGAAGGACTATCTACTCTTGATACCACATGCCTGGTGGCTCATGGGACTGAAAACTAGCCACATGTCCGGTTATTAGTCAACAGGCTGCTTGTTCTCGGCCCCTGACGGTGTTGCGCTCCACCACGCTCTACCTGGCAATGCTGAGACTAAGAATGTACAAGTAGTCGCACGGATGTATGGGAGCTTCTGCAAAAAAACAAAGATCAAAAGGAATGGATGGGAAGCCCTCTATCAGCCCCTCTCTCAACGCCGAATTCGAGATAAGGGACTCTAAATCAGCAGCATCATCCTGATCATCCTGCGGGAACTCTTCAAGGAGCTTAAAGCTGCTGGCTTGAACAACTCGAACATCGATCGGACAACGCTTTACTCTAAAGCTGCAAAACTCCTCCGTGCTGCAACAGCTGCCCATTGGGAGCGATGATTTCAGATCAGTTACGCAAGCAATATTTGATCATGTTTGTTGGTCGCAGTGGTCATGACACAGATCTATTTGATCTTTGAAGTTGACTCAATGCAATGGTTTCAAAGTAAACAAGTTTAGTGAGCAGGGATCTCAGAACTTCAGAATCCCGACAACTGAGCACAAGTCCAAGGTGAAACAAAGATAAGTCCGTTTACAGCCAAGTCTAGGCGGCTAGTCAGGCTGAATGAGCCAGGCATTTGATGGTGGTAACATACCCATCCCGCGCCAAGCTTTTACTGAACCCTTCTGAGGCCATCCTTTTTTTCCAAGAGCTTTTAGTGTGATTCACCTGTCGAAGTGTTAAAACACCAGCCCAATATCACCGACAACTGCAGAGAGACCCTCAAACAAACTGTCAGATGGATCTGCCACCATACCATCACAAAAACCCAATCAAGAAAATTGCCTGAGGGAAGGAGGACTCCATGAGCAACATCCGTTCATACATTCTCGATAGCAGGGGCCATATGAGCTACGGAGGACCTATAGGAGGATGTATGGGGATTCAGGGGGCACCTTTAAAGAATAAAGTATAACTTTCGTCCAGGGCTCACCTGTTCTCAAGACCACTCGTGACAGCAATCTTCCTCATTGACCCTACACCCTAAACTGTGCGGAAATCCAAGGAACACAAAGAGTCCGGTAGCTTGAAAACTCATCAACGTTGATTTGAGATTTCTGCCAAATCATGGGCCCTCTGTAGGTACTCCACGCAGCATGGCCTACAAGTTCTCTTTTGCGCAAGCATGCGAAAACTCACTGCGCGGTCAAAGTTGGCCATCATCACGCCCACCTTGCAACAGCGACTGGGGCTGCCAGCAGAGTGGCGCCGTTAGAGCCACTGCACGATTTCACATTATAAAACCATTTCATTGGGCTTACATGACGGAGTTGTAAGAATCATAAAGGGGTTACAAAGGGTGTCCAGTGGATTAACAAGAGATTACGCAGGCGTAGTCAACTTTCACGAGCTTCATTTATGCGACAATGAATGCATTACGTGGGATCTAGGACTTAGTCAATTTTTTCTGGGCCTCCGGCTCATACTACACCGCACACCCTAACCCTAAAGCATCAACAACCCTTCTACTTCAGGATTCTAGGTTTAGGAGTTTTGCGTTTGGGGTGTAGGAGGAGTTTAAGGTTCCAGAGGAGTTTAAGGTTCCAGAGTTTAGTCATTTAGGGATTGAAGGTTTTAGGTTTGGGATTCTCGGGCTTTGGAGTCTAGATCAATGCTGATCTTGAGGCCTGGATGCTCGGCAGTGCTAAGTCCTCCAGAGCTCTGCTGGTGCGCATCCCGAAGTCAACAAATCACTAGGCAGCCTATTTTGTCCATGGAATTCATGCGTTGCGTAGAGCATGCCCTTCCAGCAAAGACTGGATGCATGCTGAAAACGAAGCATAAGCGGAGCTAGCGAAAAATCAATTGATGATGCCAGCCGTCTTTCCCATAAATCCGCCCCTCAGGTACCCTGAGGCGCAGTCTTGGCCCAACGTCGGGGACCCTTCTGTGACTTTGGAATCCCTCTCTCCTCGCTGGCAACATGTTCAGACTTGGATGACCCTGTGCCATAAGGACCTATGGACCTGCCACCACTGCCATCTCCACCAATCTCCAGCCGGAGCCGTGCAGCCTTCGCTGCTTTCCGAGCCTGGCCACGTCGGGAATGCTCTGCGATCTCCTCAATACAGAAGAAGGATGCCGGTGGCAGTAAGGGCAAGGGGTACCCCTCGGGCCATCCTGTTGCCTGGGCTCGAGGAATAGTGGAAGCTCGCTCCTGCAGACGTACGCACGAAGACTTGAAGTACTTGGCAACCTCTTGCCAAGTGTACTGTTTCCGATATTTGGCATGCAGTTCAGCCAAGGTGTAGGCTTTGCCATCCTCTGGGTCTGTTCTTACCTCCAGGGGTTCGCAAGTGTCCTGCCAGTACAAGCGGATCTCCTCAAGTTTGTACTGGCCTTTGTACTTCTTCTTCAGGCCCTCTAGCGAGTACTCCTTGCCATCATCCGGATCGAGCCTCCGCTCTGCTGCCGAAGCCCCAGCGCCTTCTGCCTTGCCCGCCTCTGGACGCGGAGCAATTTTGCCGGCATCGCGCATGCAGCCCCACCAGACAGCCACCTGGGAGCCTCCGGCAGGAAAATTTCTTCGTGCCCAGCCGATGCGCTCTCGCTCCCTCGACACCGCCGGAGGCCACTCTTCCGGGGCCGAACCCACTCGTGGGGCCGATTCAGGCTCTTCGCTGGTGACCCTCCAGGGCTCACGGGCCAAAGTTCCGTCTAAACTTCGGAGCTCGGGGACCCAGCGCTTGATGTATTCTCCATCCGGATCCTGCTGCGCTGCCCAGTAGATAGCCTCCAGGGGCAATCTATCAAACAGCTTTCTATCATCGAGCACTGAGGATGTCTTCTTGGAAGTTATCTAGGAGAATGAACGGGCACATCAACACACGTCAATGTGAAGCTCCACAGAAGAGATGACGGCATGTCTGAAGCACCTAACCTCGACCGGTCAGTCAGCATGGGGGCATGGCATGAAGGTGCTTTCGCTATGAACAGCACCAGTGCTCCTCTCCAGGAAACAAGCACTAGAGTAACGTCCATGCAGTAGGCTTTACCAGTTGCCTAATGGCGCAGGGGGAAGTCGCGGGGCTGGCCCATCCACACCTGAACTGTGATCTGTTCTGCCTGTGTTTCTTGAAGTGATCATGACTGTTGCGTTCCGAATGTCTTACTAGCTTGTGGTTTACGTCTGTCCTTCTGTTTTGTCCTTTCTTGTCGGAATTTCTGCCGTTGCCGTTTCTTTTCTCCATGTATTTCTAGCCTAACTCATTTCTCTCGTTCCTCCCTTCCATGGTTTTTCTTTCTCGACTTCGTTGCTTGCTTTCCGTCTTCCTTGCTGCCTCCCAAGTCCTAAACCGTAAGCCCTAAACCCGGAACCCTGAAAACACAGCAAACCCTCAACGCCAAACACCGGCATCATAATCCCCGGCCTCCAAGGTCTGCAGCCGCGTGCGGGGAGGCCTCAGGGGTTTGGCCTCCTCCTGGATGCTGTTCCCGCCAGTGGCCTGTTCAGTTGCTGGGATGCACGGCTTTAGGGCTTGGTTTTGGGCATGAATGTGTAGGTGTGTGTGTGTGTATGTATATATATATATACATATATGTATGTACATGTTACCTACAGATATACACACCAACCAATGACAGCTATGGGCTTGATGGGATCCATGCTTAAATCCACATACGAGCATTAAGTGGATCTGTAAGTTCTTCTTGATACCGTACTTTTGTTGATGATGTTGTTAAACATGACCAGTGGCGCGGGGTACACACGTGAACGACCAGTTGAACCAGTTGGCAGCTGGCTCGTAGTCGATCAACGTCGACTCGAACCATTCAGCGCCGAGCCGCCAGTCGATGCCGAGGTCACAAACCAAGAACCATGCCGCCACCTTTCCCAAGCTGAAGTCCCCATCATGTACCCCAAAATGATAACTCGTATTGTAGAGACCTTGAAAAAAGGGATTCTAGCTGTTGGAAACTCCCACCTCTCGCCCCGCATGACAGCAGGAACCGGTGGCCTCCAGCTCGCGCATGGACGCGTCAAGGAAGGGAAAGCCTGTCTGCCCATGGCACCAAGGCGCCAGCAGCCCATCCTCTTGCAACCAGCCACCAACTGGGTGACGCCCGTAGATGCCTTCCAGCTTGAAGATCTTGCTGCCTTTTAGGAGGGCACTAAAGCGCACAAAATCGCGGAAGTAGAGCTCGTGCACCATGCGAGCTGTGGAGTCGGTATGTCGGCGCTCTCGCTCGTACCGTTTCAGCTCTGCATAGAGGTACCTGGCGGACAGGCAGCCATGTGCGAGCCAAGGAGACAGCTTCGACTGAGAATTCGCCGCTGTGCTGCTGTGCCCGTCGTGCGGGAAGTTGGTTGCGCCGACGAACTGCAGAGCAATAGCATTGGTAGCGAAGAAGTACTCATCGAGCCTGGCCAGTGCTGCTGTTTCGCCCCCAGCCCAAAGGACCTCCGCTCTGTCGTCGGGTTCCGGTGCCTCCGACAGACCGAGGTCCACGACGCTTGAAGGCAGGCCCTCGGCACGCGGCCAATGGATGCCAGGGGCCGACTTTGCGAGGTCAACGCGGGGCAGGGGATCCCGCACCTGGCACCTCTCCGAAAAACAACGCCTGTAGCCGGAGAAACCCGATGCGCCCTTTTTCCTCACATCTGCGGGCAGGTCATCATAGTGGTGGAGCTCGTAGGTCCAGCAGAGCTGTAGCTCACCTGCATGTTTTGCCTGCAGCACCTCTTGCACCTTCTGCTCCACCCTCAGCTCCTCTGGGCAAATCTCCCTGCTGGTGTAGCACGCCGCTACGTCGAAGTCGTCACACAATTCCTCGAAGGCGCGGGCTGTTGAGATCCCATGCCGGACACACAGCTTTTGGCCTGCTGCCTCGAGTCTTTTGCTCAAATCAGCCAAGGCCTCCAACTGGAAGAGCGCTCGCCGAGGTCCCGTCCGCGGGAAGCCGGCCAGCGGTGTCCGTTTGAACCACCTGGGGTCCAGCACAAAGAGATGCAGCACAGGGAGCCCGGCTGCGTGCGCAAGGCTCAAGGGCTCATGGTCATGAGTGCGGAGGTCTGTGGCCTTGAACCACACCACAGAAACCTTCTCCCTCGGCATGGCACTGGCGAACGATGTCGGGCAATGCTCGCCCTGACCAGGATCTTCTTGTGCCACGACAGCAGCGGAAGTATAGTCGGAACACTAGCAGGAAATAACAGATGTAGCAGAAAGGGCATCTCTGAAGTGGCCAGACCGGGACCTAGTCATGAACCACTCCTGCAGAAGCCTCACGTGCCTCTGGCTTCTCGCGTGTGTACATGGGCTTTTCTCAAAAAACAGGCTCAGTGGGTACCCACGAAAATGCAAGTGCACGCGGCCTGAGGCCGCTGCCATTGTTGCCCATGAGACAAGTGGAAGCCAGAGAGCGTGCACCTGCGGATTTCCATCCTCATTGGTCTATCAGGTTTAGGATTTTACTGCCTGAGTCTTTGAGATCTCTGTCATGCCCACCCCTGGGAACGTCTGCATCCAGCGAATTAGTGAGCCTTTCTGTCAAGAAACGCTTGCAGCAAAATGGGGGCCCAAGATACCCAGCGATGCATACAGGTTATAAGACGGCTATAGGGCTCCAGCTTAAGGATTTCTCTGGATAATTTTGAGGAGCTCCCAAAGGCTGCCATTGGCCATGTGCCTGAACTGCAAGACCTAAATTCTGCAACATTCCGCTGAAGGAGTGGTGAAGGGTAGTCTCTTCAGCTTGTGCTTCACCACCCCGTTGCACTGTGTCCTAGCTGAACATCCCGCAGCAACAGCATTGACGCCGCAGCTTCTTTCTGAGAGTGCAAACACGCGTCCACCAGCGGTCCAACTGGCAGCCGATGGAACGAGCGCTGATCCCAACCTGAACCCCAAAACCCCAAATCCTTTAATCCCAGCTCCCAACATCAAAACCCAAATTCCAAACCAAAAAACACCTGAAGCAAGCCAAGTAAGGCTTTAGGGTATGGTGTAGGGTTTTGGGTTTAGTGGTCTATGTTTTTTGCATTGGTGGCTGCTTGCGCCACTTGCCAAGCAACAGGGAGCACCTCTACGATGAAAGCAGCTGAATCGCCAAATCTCTCCGCATGTATGGGGCAGCTGATGAGACTGCTACAACCAAATGCAACTGATCTGACTATGAAGCGGGCTTGCTACCTGCAAGCAAACTCCTTGCTATGCAAGCTTCCTGCAATGACATCTTGACAAAACGTTAATTCTGGTGTGGACTCTAGCGCCTTCAAGCGAACAACTGAGACCCACGACCTGACTCGTTTCACAAACCTTCTTCAGGCTCCGGGGCTTGTGCCCTGTCCCTCCCAGGTATCAGATCACTAATCCATGAAGTGCTATTCAAAGCCAGGCTTCAGCACCCGAACCCTTAAACACATAAGCCTTACACCCTGGCTGCACGAAAACACTGCCATGGTCAAGGGCCTCCTTCACATCTCACACTGCTGCCGGACCATTGCAGGGTGGGCGCGTTCTCATGCAATGCCGTGCTCTTTCACCACTGAGGTGTGGGCTAACATCCTTTTCGAATTGACGCCACGGCTACCCTGAGTAGCATCTTCCTCTAGAATCGCTTCAAGGATACGAAAGACCATTTTTCGGCCGCTGTACAGAAACAGAAGCTAGCCAAACCCATGGTGCACACCCAAAAACACTCATGAACTTGTGCGTGGTTAATAGACCGTACACGTCTCAGCCGCGTTGGATAGCCTTCTTGCATGTGCAATGCTTCCAGCATTTCCCAGCACCTCCAATAAGGAAAAGGCTTGGGCTGTAGAATTGAACCTGTAGTGTCTTGCAGAGGCTTCATGGAGGAACATGAGATTACAGAACATCCCAAATTCCAACAGTATATTGTGCGTCGAAGAGACGTGCAGCCGGGAGAGAGGCTGAAGGATCCCTGATAACTGGAACAGACAAGACGGAGAGAAGCCTTTTTTCGTCTACACAGGCGAAGGCCCTGCGGCAGCGTCATGTCAGGCCCTAAGGACCTGGAGCGCCTTGAAACGGGCCGAAACTGTTCACTTCATCGCCTTCATGGCCTCAGGAAATTGCTTTTTGGGCTTGAAGATCGTAATCCCTCCGAACTGTATGGGGGACTGTGCATTGAACGGCCTGTGCTAGCAGACTTCGCGATGGCAACTTGAACTAAGTGAAGCCCCTGCAGGCCAGGCTACCGTGCCTGCAGCGTTTGAAACTCTTTGAAAGTCATCTGGTTGCATCACATTGCAGAACGAGCTGCCTTCATCGCCTTCATGGCCTTCATTGCCTGCAGGAAAGGGATGGCTGCAAGAGCAGGCACACCCCGCAACTGGCTTCAAGCATGACAACCTCATATCTGTACTTCACTGAGATAGGCTGGAAAAGACTTGTCCTTCCTGCAAGCTACTGGTACGGGAGCAAAAGATATTTGGAAAGAAAAGAGGGGGACGATAGACGCGTTTCTCTTCAGCTCAGTTGCTGTTCACAAGCTCAAGCTGAACTATGACAATAGGTCATGAACAAGGTTGATCGTTTGTCCCGGATCTCCTATCCGACAGCTTGAGCTAAATCACAGCAACTGAATGCTAAACCTACAAGCCTCAAGAGTAGCCTAGCTGTTGGGTTGATGTGGTCTTCAGAAGAAAGCAAAGACAAAGAGCGGACAAGTGTGTTGAAGTCACGAGTCGAACCCGAGGAACACCCTACAAGTACCTTAGCGAGGAAGGTTCCCTCTTTCAGCCTCGACCCTATACACCCGAAAGTCTAAACCCTGGGACTGTCAGTTGGCAATGAAGGCGATGGCATCAAGATTCAGAGAGCAAAAGACTGGCAGCTTTGGGGATAGGGATTTAGGTTAGGGGTTCAAGGATTAAGGTTTGGGGATGGGACTGGGGGATCAGTGTCCAAGGCTTTGAAGATTGACGAATTCTCACGCTAACTTGAGTTGCATTGTGTGGCTGCGAACACTACAAGCACAGAGAGACATACTGCACTTTCAAAACAAGGGTACGTTAAAACTGTTAGCATTCAAACAGTGACTCGAACCCGCGGCCCTAAACCCTCGAACCCCAAACCGTCCTAAACCCTTGTACAAATCAGGCTTTCTGAGCCTGGTTGCTTGGCCAGCTCCCGTACATACATACCCCCACGATACTACAGTTCTTGTTGCAAGGATCCCAGTTTTCAACAAACCTGACAACCTTAAGTTTTCATGTTCAGGCCTTCATCGCCTTCATTGCCGGCCATGTACTCAAGCGAAACACTAAGGCATTATCATGAGTAGGGTTCATGTTAGAAGGACGCACCATTCCGTAGCAGTTGAGCAGGATAGAAGTGCGGAGAGAGCTCGAAAGAAGGAAATCCGACGCATGGCATGCAGAGGCCACTAACAACCTTGCTGGAAAGAAGACAGCAGAGATAAACCGACAAGAAGGATGCGAGCAACAAAGACAAGACTGTCATCGCTCTTGTCATGATCTTGATCTTCATGATTGCCCACATCATCACCGCGACCTACCACCTCAATTTTGTTTACACAGATTGCACGAGCAACGGGCAATCTGGCCTTCATTGCCTTCATGCTCTTCATGGCAGGAGCTTCCTCATCGCCGGCTTTCTTCATCGCCTGCATCAGCAAACTTAGGCAACAGCAAGCCTGCCAGCGCTACCTGCGAACAGATTCTGAAGCACCAGACAACGTTTCTCAGAGTCGTCCTCGTAAAGAGCGATGGAAGTCTTGTCATTATCCACTTTGACAACGGACACGCAATCATTCACAGCAGAGTCTTGAAATGCAGGAGTTTCAGCTGAATGCTGGATGAATAAACTCAGCAATTGGAACCCTAGATCATAGATCTCTGATCGGCAATGAAATATCAGCTCGTTCTTCTGGCATACGCTTACCAACGCCGTACGCGCTCAAAACACAAACATGCGAGGTCTTTGCACAGCCCCAGACAAGATGCATACAAAGCTTAGAAGTTCAGGATACGTATTGCTTGCAACACGGAACTAGGGGAACTGCACCACAGTGTTGCCGCGTAATCCGGGAATAACATGGAATAACACACTTTCCACCAGCATGGATTTCATCTGTCAAACTGCAAGTTGCAAAACAACTTGAATGTCAAGTGCAGTGCTTGCCTTCATGGCTTTCATCGCTTTCATTGCCTGCCACACATGCTTCCAAACAGCGTGGGCGGGGCAACAACGCAGAAAAGGCAATGTGGATATTGCCCTGGATGCAACAGGCCTTCATGGATTTCATCGCCTGCCAGTAGCCAGCTGCAAGTTTCTGAACGTGGAGAGTCTTGGGGATTCTTTGGGCACCGCTGGTGTCTGAGAACTACCAGGTTTTCAACAGCTTCTCGTCATCTAGGCTAGGCGTAGAGATTGCTTGCGTCAAACGGCGCCACTACCACTACAATCCACTACATTGCACTTTGCCGTCGGTTCTGCACTCAGGTTCCGCAGCACTCCATGCTTTAATGCGTTCAGACGTGCCTTCATCGCCTTCATAGCCTGCCAACAGCTGCGTCTTTCACGCATCGCACATGTTCAAGTCACATATGCACAAGCTTGATGAGCTTCAAAATCTTAGCATGACCATCGCGCCATGGTTTCTGACGTGCCTTCATGGCCTTCATGGGAGCCATAACGACAAGAGAAACTTTCGGGGGCGCTCGGAGGCGTGGGAGGACTTGCAGGCGGCTTGAGCAGATCGACGGGCGGACAAAGGGCTGCAAACCAGGCTGCTTCTTAAAGAACTTCCATCTCGTGGCCATGGCCGCGTGACCTCTGTGGCGAAGGGGGTCTACAAAAAACATGAAGTAGTGATGGATCAGCAGCGATTAAGGGTGAACTTTTGGCCAAGTCAGAAAAAAAGATGACAACATTATTGGCACTAGTCTCTAACAGATGTCCCCGTTCAGCATGCAGCAACCGATGGGACCCTGCCGCCAAGACTGCACCCCCGCTCAACAGCTGTTTAACTTCAGAATGAGATGAGCTCCATGAAACCCTACTTGTACGAATCCCTACAACGGTAGGGTCTAACACAGGGCTTTCGAAATCAACTTTGGGGCCAGACACTGGGCGCTTCGCCAACTATGGGTCCCGTGCTTCCATCCATGCGCACCTCACCAGAACTGCAGTCTGCATTTTCAAAGCCTGGCGAGCAGGCAGCATGCACACAGCACGCCAACAGCATCACTAACAGAACGACCACGCACGCCCTTGTCGAACAGGCAGCGCTCACACAGCTCGCACAGGGTCATGAAAAGACCCGGCCGTGTAAAGTCATATGTAGACTGCTGGGAGGGACGAGGCCTTAGGATATCCTTGGCTTGTTCCACGCACCAAAAAAACTGTTGAAACCGGCCTTCACACAGCTGGAATGGTTTCATGCTCCCAGTCAGTTTCAGCAGCTTCCTGTGATGCGCGTGATTTGCTGTACAAGTGTTATGAAGCTTTAAACAGCAGCCTCACAGCTAGACGTGCATCTCGCACGGGGTGAGCCTGAGGTCTCGGCTCGACTCTCCAGCGCAAACAGGGAACCCAGCGCAGTCCAATACGCAGTTCTTTCTACATTCTTTTAAGTGCGCAACTCCATCCTGCGATGACGCTGCTTCTGTATCTCGGCTTGTGACTAGTGTTCAAAATCTGTAAACCCAGCTTCTATGTAACGGACTACGCAAGCCATCTTCTTGAACACTGGCCCTCAACCCTATGTATATACCACTTTTCCTCGCCTGCGTGCTCCAAGGTTGTCGAGAAGCGGCGAGGGCGTTGTGCCCAGGCAGCTGCGAAAGGCTGTGCGTGTACGCCTCGCACGGGAAAGCAGGGGACCTGAGGACTAGGGATAACCAAAGGGCAAGGCGCTAGGGAAACCACTAGGGACAAGGTCTACCTACGAACCCTAAGGGGTAAACGCAACAGCCCGTTCCATCCTCAACCTTCTTGACTGGAACAGGCACAAATAACAAGCTTGCGCGAAAGAGAGCTCAGAGTTCTGATGCGATCACGGGCCCAGAGAGGGAGTCTCTGCGCAGCGACTTCTTGAAGACAAAATTCCATGGTCTTCGTTTTGCTCCACCGGCCCCGCCAGGCGATCAAGGGGAGATCTTCGGTCTCTAAATACATGAAGGTGGCACCGCTTCCGCGAAGAACACCAGGGGTGGCCCCCTTGGAAGCAAGGGTATGCAGCACGCCTAAGCGCTGCATAATCGCGTTCCATTGCGCCTATAGGTATGAAGAGAACCCCTAAAGAGTCTGGCATTGAAGGGCAAGGACAAGTACAAAGAAGTAAGAAACCTTAAGGTCAAGGAGTCTTCAAGCCTGCAGCGCTGACGTCGAGCAAAGCGTTGCATCTTTGGACTCCGAATATGCACGTACGCCACAGGGTCTTGAGACATGGCATCCTCAGGGAACACGATGTCTTGACGCACCAGCGGAACCATCTCAGAAGGGCGCAGCATGCACAGGAAGCCGATTAAAGTGAGAGCGGCCCAATCAAACCATCCCCAACAGATGGCCAAAGCAACAGCTGCTTCAAGAATGGGCTGCGATATCACTGGTCGACACTCCCCGGGCTCGGACTGCTGCCACTTTTTGTCAACCTGCCAAGCTGGAGTAAGGTGCGTCCGATATTCGGGATACAAGTCTTGAACAGCCGTGATGGCATACACTAACAAGTATCGAGGGCTGCCTGCAGCATATAGGTAAAGTCCAAACCCACGTAAGGCAAGAGCGGCAGACCGCGAACAGCTGAGAACTGCATCTCCATCAAGATTCAGAGTGCTGCTGATCCAAGTAAGGAAAGCTCCAAAGGCCTTGGTCATCTTGTGACGAGTCGAAGCCGCAAAGCCGGACTGCAAGTCGAGAGCGCCGCGAGGCACAGGTGCACGCCTCGGGCCCGGGTTTCTCTCAACGTCACCAGCAAGCAACAACAAAAGGCGAACCCAACGACCGAGAACTCTAGGCACCGCGCAGGATGCGCACAAGAGGTCGAAGCGCTGAGTCCTGCCCTGGCACAAGTCAAGATACCAGGCAGGCACTTCACGTGTTGGCGGGGAGACTTTCCGACCCCTGGACGGACCGTCGCTCCGATTCTGATCGGAGTAGACGTGCAAACCACCAGGACACAACCCAGCCCCAAGCAAGTATGGGAGCGTCGACCGAAGAACTCTGGAGAGTGCTGGACTGGAAGACCTCCCTTTTGCGGCAGCCCCTAGCAAAACCCTAGAGTCAATTAACCCCAAGCCCGACAAGCAGAAAACCTTCGGGCGCAGTATTTAATCCACGTTTTATAGACCCGAGTCTCAAGAACGTTTATGTGTCCGCCTTGAAGAAAACGGAAGCGTAGCAGTTCTTTGAATGGGAGGGAATCAGGAAGTTCCCCAACCCAATCGTGGTCATCGTGGAAAGCACGGGCTGCAGGGGGTTCAGGACTAAGGGAACCACTAGGGGAACCTAAACCACGGTCAAGGAGCTCGAGGGTGGCAAACTTGGCGGACAGCGGCATGTCGCTAACATACCCTCGCTTCGCGGCTGAACTGCCGACGGCCATCAGCCTGCAGAGGGTCAAAGGGTATGAAGCTGAGAAGCTAGCGACACTCTCGCCGGGGCGAGGCTGACGGCCGAGCAGGGCCTTGGCGTTTGGGCAGCAGAGCTGATCAAAAGCAACGGCGCTTGATTTTGTAAATGTGCCTTCGATGATGAAATGAGGCTTTGCTTTGCCACAAGTGCAGGGACGAGCAAGGTCGGCCAGCCAAGGCTTGTTATGGAGCCACTGCAAAGGCTTCTTGTAGGGCGTGCCAAAGGCACAGCAGCACAAGCGGGTGATTACAGCTCCCAGCGCAACTAGGGCACGGAAACAGTCCAGGTAAAACACGCAACTGCTCCCAGGCTGCTCCACCGAAAAATAACCCCCCGTCAAGGCCACTATGCAAAACAAGAAGGCGGTTCGCATGGCAAGACGATTGTGCAACTTGGCGAGGGGATCTTCCGGATTAAACCCGAAAGGCTTGGCCTTGCTACGCAAGCGTGGGCGTCTCAATGTGCCATACGTCAAGCACGGGGGCCCTCCATGCCACTCCCTCACAACTCTTCTCAAGGCAAGTGCGCAAAGCCCATGAAAGGTGCTATCCAAACTGAAATCCATCACGCGGCCAGAAGAATTTGGGATATCAACTCCAGGGTAAGCGGTCAGTCCCAAGGCGGCATGAGACAAAGTCCAATGACTGCTGCCACTAAAAAGCTCCACCACGTCGAACAGGATGCCTTCTTGCAAAGGGCGACACAAAAGGGGTCCGAACAGGGACTTCCCCTGAGCAAAGCGTGGATTGCAGCATCGGATCGAGACCAGAATCAAAATCCCAGTCGGCCGAAGAATCCAGGCCAAGTTCGGCAAGCAAGGCAGAGGCTGGGCCCAGGAGACAGGTGTAGAACCCGCGCTGCTCAGAGAGGCGCCACAGTTCTTGCACGACAGATGGCGGCATGTCAGTGGAGCACAGGCCTCCACCAGTTGGTGAAGCGTCCATTGCATAAAGGAAGGGCAGGTAGCCCACTCGCAAGTCACTTTGGGCAAGTGGCGCAAGTAAGCACTGTTTTCGATTTCCCCAATGGATG